GTTGCAGTGTGGAGTATCCCATTTATTGTAACCATCAAGCAAAATGGGACCCATATGGTTCCTGGTGTTTCTCAGTCACTGGTCATAGAAAGCCCTGCCACTGAAAGCTTTTACCACTGAGATCTTGTAGCACTAAAATCATCGATTCAGAGCAGGTAAGATATTTCAAGGCCTGTAAACCCTCTGTAAAAAATCTTCCATAGTGAGGTGATAGGCTTGGCATGACTGACAGGTTTTGGATAGAGTCTGGTCTCAGGAAGTAAGAGCCCAGTCCATCATGAGATAAGAAAATGATGTATGATGACTGGTCCTTCCAAGTCTTCCAGGAGCACTCATAGGCAAAGATTCTGTCTATTCTCTCTGTCCTTGAGCTCCATAAGCTTTAGCTAGAGATCAATATTCACCTTTTCAACATGTAGACTAAATCTGCATGTTGCAGACCTAAATCCATAGCCCCAGAGGCTATCACCTCCACTTCCTGCCGCTTCACCTGCCGCTTGGTGTGTAGTGAGGCCAGCTTAGCTTCAACAGGTTTTTAGAGCTGCCATCTATTCCTCTGAGAGGTCCTACTCTTGTTGTAGATGAATTGTGTTAGAAACTCTGACTAAAAGTGGCAATTTCTTCTTCCTTGGGACTTCCACTTTAGTTTTTTAGATGCCATATTGGTGGCAACTTTAAAGGGCCCAGCCTCTGCCCTATTAGTCTGTCAGATTGCTCATGTACCAACTGGAATACTGAGAGAACCCCCAGTCAGGATCTAGATCCAAAATCATCAAAGTCTTACTTTTAGCGGGTCTGCAAGCTAGAAAATCACTGACCAAGTATGGAGCTGAAGCCCTAAGTGGCCTTTAGCTATCATGGCTAGCTACAAACCCCAGATGATGATGATGAAGAAGAAGAGGAAGAGGAGGAGGAGTTTGGACTTGGTATTCTGCCTTTCACTCCGCTTAAGGAGTCGCAAAGCAGCTAACAGTCTCCTTTCCCTTCGTCCCCCACAATAAACACTTTGTGAGGTGAGTGAGGCTGAGAGACTTCAGAGAAGCCACCTTGTGTCTGATATTTGGAGAGAAAGAATTGGCCGGATGTGCAAACCTTCCACAAGGTAGTAGAAGGACAGTTAAGAATCAGGATGAACATTCTAGTCCTTGTAGAATCGTTGAATTGTAAAGTTGGAAGGAACCTCTAGGGTTATCTAGTCCAACCCCCTGCAATGCAGGAATCTTTTGTTCAACATTGGGCTTAAACTCATCACCCTGAGATGAAGAGTCTCATGCTCTATCAACTAAGCTATCCCAGCAGAACATTCATGCACACATTCCATTGAAAGCAAGTGGCCTACATCTTAATTTGATTGTGCCTTCATGTACACCATTAGATGCATACCCCACTTATGATCACAGTTAAGAAAAGGAAGAATATTCAAGAAAGTTGGCAGAGTTTCCGTGGATATCGTAAGACCATGGGATGGAAAAGCAGAAAACTCTACTGAAATAGAAGAAGAAGCTAAAATTACCCCAGTGCCTGGGCTGAATCTTGTTTAGTTCTCCAACTCCAGATGGAGGGAAGCACGGTGGGATACTTCATAAGACCGTGTAAGTATTCTGTGCTGTGCTACCTGAAGTTGTCGCCGAAAAGGATGATCTTCCTATGTCTATGCAAGTGGGGTTGGGTGAATAAAATGTTTGCATTAATTTAATCCATGCCTCTGTAACTTGGAAATGGAATAGCTCAATCAAATTTATTTCTCACTTTTGTCACCGCTAAATCGGCTGTCTTATTTACATGAAGCTTTAACAGCTTGCTGAATTGTTTTAAAGTTTTTCCCTAAGTTTAACTTTCCAAATGTGTTCTTAATCTCCTGCTGAATATTGTTGGAGAGTATTAGTCACTAAGATTAACTGTAATGTGGAGCATTTCTTTTTTAGTATCTGAAAATAACTATGAGTAATCCTTTTTTTTAGACATGAGTCTAAATCACATGTACTTTTGGAGCTGATGAATAGCATGAGGATAACTATGTGTGAATTGATTTAAATAAAAATTAATTGAATCTTAATATCCTTCTGTCACCTTATTTTTTTCTAAATATTTTAGTTTTTTTGCATTACAGAATTACAGTGTATAATAGTGCACAGTACTACCCATCTTAAGGTGGTAAGAATTTAATTCTGATCTCCTGTTCTTAAATCTCATGTAATGCATTTCACAGATAAGACATATATAGTCTGCCTAATACACATGCATAATGAGATTTTCATGCAGAAGCTGAAAGGAGAATTGGAGCCTAATTTTTAATATCAAATTCTATTTGCTGGCAAAACATTCTGTCAAAATAATATCAAAGGCTAATATTATATAAAAGGTGACCTGCTTATTTCAATAGCATCACCTCCTTCATGTGTTGGTGAGAATTCTGCATTGTAGCAATGGGACTTCTCAATCTGGACTTCACAAGCAGCACTTGCAGGCAGTGGCGTAGCGTGGGGGGTGCAGGGGGGGCCGGCCGCACCGGGCACAACATCTGGGGGTTAGGGTTAGGGGCGCAAATCCATGGGTTAGGGGGCGCAAATCCACGGGTTAGGGAGCGCAAATTACTTGCCTTGCCCCGGGTGCTGACAACCCACGCTACGCCACTGCTTGCAGGTAAATTTCCTATTGCGGAGATGGAGAACCTCAGGGCTATGGGCCAAATGTGACCCACCAAGCCCTTCTGGGTGGCCATCAAGACCCCTTTCCCCCACACCCTACACTTGCCCTGCTTCACACCCTTTTCAAGTTCTCTTGCCTGGCTGGAATATGCCCTAGAAATGTGATAACACCTCTCGCTTGCCTAAATGAGAGCAGGGAGCTCTCTCTGTGTGTAAACCTCTGCTTTTTGCATGGCTGTAGACAACCAAATAAAGGTAGGAATTGTATCCATTGCCCCACATACATTTTGTCTTTACCCACCCACCCTTCTCTGTCATGCATCTCTGGAAGGTTTCATTCAGGCTGAAAAGGGTTCCCTGCTTCTGCCCTGTATCTTCTTTATTGTGGAAGGGACTCAAGGTGCCTGGAAGAGATATTGCTAATTGGGACTATGCTCTATAAGACATTGGGAAAAACCCAGTGTGCAGCAAAACAAGGGCAAACAGGTAAAATATGCAGAAAACATGAAAAGAATTCCTCATCGGTTGAGAAGAAATGGAAACGAACATACTAAATGATTTGATGGAATTAGTAAAGTTATAATTTCCTGCTCGAAACCAAACTGCAAGGACATCTTACAGCCACAGCTTCCTATCTATGGATTATCGGCAGCCAGAAAGCTGGGGGCTGGGGATTGGAACAGCCTCCCAGAACAACTGGGAACAGCTTTTGCATTCCAAATCCTAATTCTGTGCTTATTCTGATTTCATTTCTGAAAGCAGGCATCCAAGTCTGACCTATTAAGAGAGAGAGAGAGAGAGAGAGAGAGAGAGAGAGAGAGAGCGCTCGTATTAACATTGTTTCATTTGAGGACTGTGTTCACAATGTTACACTCGTGTTCACACTGTAATCTGACTACAGTGTGGTACTCATTCACTTGAATGGGCTTAGTTTGGGAGCAATCTATATTGAATTCAGCTGTGAATATTTGGGCCATATAGGCTAATTTCTGAGGAGGTCACAGTTAGGAACCCACTACTTACTTTCTAGCATGCTTATGTAAGATGATATAGTCAACTCAAGTGCTTAGTTTTCTCAGCTTTGTTGATATAGTATCTTATATAACCATGACTGAATAGGATTCTGAGTAAGCGTGTTAGATCATGTCCTCTTCTTTGGCTACTAGAAATTGTTTAAGTGTGTGTATGTGCGCATTGGTTGTTGGGTTGCTTTTCGTTGTTGTGGCATTTTACTCACGAAACACACTCCGCTGCCTACAAAAGGGATCTGAACATAGGACACCAATCCATTAAAGGGTGACTTGTACTGACTGGAGTCCTGGGATTGTTTGAAACCCTAATTTATATCCTCAGCTGCCCGTAAATATTGTTTCCCACAGTTCTTCAGAAATAAGGGAAGGAATGAGTTAAACCAAATCCTTGGATATAATCTCCTTTCCTTTTGCTGACTTCAGTGAGAAGAAAACAATTTAAGCCCAAGCACTCCAGTTCAATACAAGTGAGGGTCAAATGTTGGTATCTCACAGTTCTTGATTTAGAGCAAGTTCCATAATCTGTGTGGGGATGAAAAAGACAGATGTTCCAATTAATATTTCACTAGTCCTCTTTTGTTTCATGGGTTTTTAACTGATTCACTTTAAACTGAGTTCAGCAGCAAAAAGGCCATCGTATTGAAATGTATCAGCATATACATTACTAACAAGATAGAATGATGTAATGTGTGTGTGTGTGTGTGTGTGTGTACATGTGTGAGGAACCTTTAGTGCTCCAGACATTGCTGAACTTCAACTCCTGTCATTCCTGGCCATTGGCTATGCTTGCAAGGGTGGATGGAAGTTGGAGTCCAATAATGTCTGGAAGGCCAAAGTCTCCCCACACCTGACACAAACACACACATACACAATCTAAAATGAACGATGCGGTGCATCATGTTTGAGATAACCCCAGCCATAGCTAAGATAAAAAGCCCAGCTGCTCCCTGACTTACTATAGATTGACAGTACTATTTCAGTTAAGTTTATTGTTCATACTAAACCATTACAAAGTGTAGTACGAAAGAAAACAAATTTGATTTTGAAGTTGACTTTTTGTGCTTGGAGCATGCGATGAGGCAAAATGTTCTGACAGCTCAAGCTTACTCAAGCTTAATGACTGATCTAAATTGGAGCTTGGGAGATAAAAGAAATTCTTTAGTGATGCCTCAGTTGTCATTGATTGCTATGAGCAATTTTAAAGCTATTCAAGATGAGAATTGCCAGCTTGGTTCTAAAAAGAGGAGAGAGTGGTACATAAGATTAGAGGCTGGTGCAAAATGGTATCTCATAAAAAAGAGAGCAGGTTTGGATTACTTGCATGCATATGTGATAATCACAAGCACCTATAGAGTGTACGTATCTGTGGAAAATGATTCGCTGGAGGCATCAGCTGCACCAGAGAAGGTGAAAATTAAAGGCAAGTTCATCATTGATTATCTTATTGTCATTAATGCCAATAAAGTGGCCCAAAACATAATGCTAGATGCTCAAGAGATGCTCAAGACATGAAGCCAGTTATAAAATACCACAGGCTCAACTTGTCAATTATAGCCTGTGTATGAAGAATTAATTTTCCACGGGTTTGCCAAAAAGCCAAGCTTTTAAAGCATTTCACCCTGGGAAATCATCTTCCAATAGCTACTCATTTCAATATTTACTGTTTTAATTGATTCATGTTATTTCTTCCCTTTCTTTTATTGTGTGAGGGCTATGAATGACTTAGGGAAATAGGAATCTCTCCTGAAAGCACACACAGCTGATCCCAAAATCTTACACAAACAAAATGATAATAGTACACAAACAGAATTACAGGCTGTTGTCATCCAAATCAAAACTTAAAACTTGTGGGCTGACTACATATATGACGGCATGCTCCCCAGTTAAACAGCACTACAGCATTGTACCAATGAATGGTTCAGATTTACATTTATAATGCTCCATTATCTTCTTCCTGATACATAGCATGCTCTGAGGTAGGTATATGACTTTATGGAGAGACATTAGTGTGAACTATTTTTGAGATATATCAGACCGGTGCCATCTTTACTGGTAACTATTGAACACCTTCCTCTTCTAAAATGACTGCTAAGTGGATATTTTCATCCCAACTCTTATCTGCACTGGGTTTCAATTATATTTATTTATTTAGAAGATTTCTAAACGGCCTGAACAAAAAACTCTCCAAACAGTGTACAAATAACCATACATTTCTATCACTGTTGCTTTTATTCTTAAATCATTTCAGAATGTTTTATGGGAATGATCGCTCACCCATCTGATGGTGGGCACCCTTTGCGGGACTGCATGCAGCACCCCTGATCCGCTGGAGACTCACTGGATGGTTTTGCTGGCCCACCTTCCCGTCGCAGCCATTGGGGGTTCCGGCCAAACCCCGGTTCAAATGAGCCAATCTGTGATGATTGCAGAGGCGGGACCAGCTGAGCAGGCTCCACTCTGGTCCGCTCTGGTGGTATAAATAGGGGCGGAGCCAACCTAGGAGTGCGCAGTCGGCTCCAGAGCTTCGCCCACCTAATCCTCCCTCTGTTTAATGCTTTGATTGCAGGTTAACCTTTTTACTTCCAGTTCAGCGGGCATTGCTATGGTCTTATGATTGTTGCTG